TGTAAGACCAAAGTAAATCTCACAGGGAGGAATCCTTCACGTGAACGTGGAGCAAAATACAGCATCAGCCTTTTGAAAAGGAGGAAATAAAATAAAGCAAGTTTCAGATTCTGCCGTTCATCTCCCTTCCTCGTTAGATGAAGCACTTCCAGTTCCTTGGCTGACAGGGGCTTCAGTTCGCTCCTGGCTGCGGCTGTCTCTGAGGTCGCACAGGCAGCTGGCACGGGTTCGTCAGGCTTACTGAGCTGATTTTCGGACTTCAGCCCGGGGCAGAAGATGTTTGGACATCAGAAGAGGTGTTAAACGGCACTCCAGCAGCTCAGGTCCGTGCTCTGCACCTGCTGGCGCTCACATCTGCCTGCCGGTGTTGGTGGAGGTCAGCACCCTGCTTTTCCCCACTTTTGCCTCTTCTCACCTTCTGCGTGGGTAATGTTTTTCATCACAAAGTTCCCTTCCCTTCTGAGGCCCGGGTGGGCTTTGGCGAGCTCAGAGCTTCGTGTCAGAGGACCTGCCTCTCGGGGAAGTCGCTCGTCGTTACGAGCTTTGCTGACCTGGTTTTGGGAAAGCACGGCTCGTGGTCGGAGCCGCCGCACGGCTCCGAGCTGAGGAGAGCGTTTGCATTTTCCTTTTGACCTGTGGGATGGTGCTGAGTTGGAAACCGTGGCTGGGCAGAAAATCCAGCTCGGTGCTTTGGAGGCACAGAGGAGGGCACAGAGAAGTGCGTGGGCTGCTGGTTCCCTCGGGGGCTCGTTGGAGGTCGAGATGAACGCAGTGCAGTGTCAGGAACCCGCTGACATGTACTGACAGAGTTACCTTGGCTTTGGCTGCAAGATACGCTCATCCTGAGCTACACCACGTTTTAGCCCTGTCTCGCTGCCAGGTAGGTGCTCATTTTGCCCAGGTACCGGGAAGAGGCAGCAACTCGAGCGACAGAATGTGACGTTTCTCTCTGGAGCAGCGGCCCCGCCGTGCCGCTCTGCGCCGGGCACAGCGCCGCTGCCGAGCCGTGCCGCGCAGCGGAGCCGGGTCCTGGCTG